GTCCCTACCTACTTACCTACCTACCTACCTCCCTCCCTCCCTCCCTCCCTACTGACCCCTCCCCCCTTTACCTCCTCGTCCCGCTGGTCGTCTTCATCCTCCCTCCCTCCCTCGTTCTCTCCCTCCTCTTCCTCCCTCCTTTCTTCCTTCTCTCCCTCCCTCCCTCCCTCGTTCTCTCCCTCCCTCCTTTCTTCCTTCTCTCCCTCCCTCCCTCCCTCGTTCTCTCCCTCCTCTCCCTCCCTCCTTTCTTCCTTCTCTCCCTCCCTCCCTCCCTCCTCTCCCTCCCTCCTTTCTTCCTTCTCTCCCTCCCTCCCTCCCTCGTTCTCTCCCTCCCCTCCCCCCCCCCCCAACCTGACCCCTGACCTTCTTCCATCTCTAACCCCCTCCCCCCTCCCCCCCCTTCCCTCAGAAGCTGACCCCTCGCTCCCTTCCAGCACGGAATAATCTCTTTATCTATAGTTAACGACCTTAACCATCCACATATGTACACTACCCCCCACCCCCCACCCCCCTCTTAATCCCTGTCTCTCCCTCTCTCATTGTCTCCTCTTCCGCTCCTCTCTTCCCTCTCTTCTTGGCTTCGTTGCCTTCTCCTACCTTCCATTCTCTACTCCCCATGCCCTGTTCTTATTCCTTTGTTCCTCTCTTTATGCTCTTTCTTCAGACTCCCTCCTTCTCCTCCTCCATCTCCTCCACCTCCTTCTCTCCCCATCACCTCCTCCTCCTCCTCTTCCTCGTCTTCTTCTTCCTCTTCTTCCTCCTCCTCCTCCTTTTCCTCCTCTTCCTTCCCTCCCCATCACTTCCTCTTCTTCCTTCCCTCCCCATCACCTCCTCCTCCTCCTCCTCCTCTTCCTCTTCTTCCTCCTCCTCTTCCTTCCCTCCCCATCACTTCCTCTTCCTCTATCTCTCCCCCACTTCCTCCCTGCCTCCTATCTCCCTATTTTCATCTCCTTCCCCTAATCCCCTTCCCTCCCTCCCCAATCGACTTCTCTCCCCCCCTCCACCCCCCGCCACGTACGTTCATCCACTTACCCCCCCTTCTCCCCCTTCCTCCCCCTCCCCCCTCACCCAACCATCTCCCTCTCGAAATCTCTAATTACCTGTTAATTCTCTGTCCTCCGGTCCCTTCTACAGCGAGATTTCCCCCAGATGTGCTTTTCCTCCTCCTGACTCCCCCACCCCTCCCTCCCTCCCCCCCTGAGGTGCTTTTCCTCCTCCTGCCCCCCCCCCCCCCCCCCCCTGGCACGCGCGCGGAGGCTGGATGGGGCGAGAGAGCAGCTGGACCCGTGTTTGCGCCCTTGTTTCCTTTGTCTTTTTGGTTTTGTTTGTTTGTTTGTTTGTTTGTTTTTCAGAGTGGAGGGAGGGGTGGGTGGATGGTCTTGTTTTGAATTTTTTTTTTTTTTTTTTATTTAAGGGGTGTTGCTTATTTTTTTTTGGGGGGGGGGGCAGGAGGGAGGGGTGGAGGGAAGGAGGGAGGGAAGGAGGGAAGGAGAGAAGGAAGGAAGGAGGGAAGGAAGGAAGGAGGAAGGGAAGGAAGGAAGGAGGAAGGGAAGGAAGGAAGGAGGGAAGGAAGGAAGGAGGAAGGGAAGGAAGGAAGGAGGGAAGGAAGGAAGGAGGGAGAGAGCGGACATCCATCTCTTCTCACACCTTCTGTCCTTCGCTCGATCTATTCTGACTCTCGAGAAACATCTGCTCTCCCCTCACCCCCCCCCCCACCCTCCTTTCCACCACCACCCTACCCTTCATCTTCTCTTCCGCCACCTCCTCTTCTCGCCCCCCTCCCCCTCCCCTTCACCCCCTCCCCATTTACCCCCTCGTTCCCCTGGTCCTCTTCTCCCACCTCCTCAACTCTTGCCCTCTCCCCTCCCTTCTGCCCTTCTTCTTCTTCCTCCTCCTCCTCCTCTTCTCCCCTCCCTTCGCCTCCTCCTCCTCCTCCTCCTCCTCCTCCCCCTCCGCCTCCACCTCCTCTTTCTCCTCTCCATTTCCTCCTCCTCCTCCTCCTCTCCCTTTTCCTCCTCCCCCTCCTTCCCCTCCGCCTCCTCCCCCTCTGCCCCCTTCCCTCGCTCTATCTAAAGCTTAAACGAATCCTTTGTAATCATCTGCCAATCCCTGACGTCCTCGTTTCCTGATCTCTGACGCCGCCTTCCATTCACATCTCTTGTACCCCAAAGGCCCTTAGCCATTCATCTACCCTTACCGCAGTCCCTTCCTTGCCCTCGCCTCTCTCTTTACACTTGATTGGGATCGTCCTAGCATCTCTCCCTTTTGCTCTGTCTCTCTCTCTCTTTGTCTGTTTGTGTGTGTCTCTTTCTTTGTCTTTTTTATTATTATTATTATTATTTTTTTCTTTTTGTGTCTAATTCTTCTCTTTCTAATTCTTCTTCTCTCTCTATCAGGTGCACCATCTCGGAAAATCTCCCTCCCTCCCACCCTTCCTCTCTCCCTCCCTCCCCCCAACCAGACCCCTGACCTTCTTCCATCTCTAACCCCCTCCCTCCCCTCTTTTCTTCCCTCCCTCTCTCCCTTTCCTCCTTCCACTCCCCCCCCTCCCTCCCTCCCTCCCACTCCTCCCCTCCCTCCCTCTCTTTTTCCTTCTTCCCTCCCTCTCTCCCTTTCCTCTTTCCATCCGTCATATAATCACGATCTCCTTCCCTTCTTCCTCCCAATATCCTGCGAAAGCCAACTCACCAGGTCTTGATGGAGTCTGTTCCTATCGCGTGTTTGGGCGAAGGATTTCATCTATTTATTTATTTGTCTGTCCATCTATCTATTTATCTATCTATTCATACAGATATCTATTTATCTATCTATTCATACAGATATCTATTAATCTATCTATTCATCCATTTATTTATTTATCTATCTATTTATCCCTCCATTATCTATCTATTTATTTACCTATTCCTTTCTTCATCTATACTTTCTTTTCAGCTTTTCTTTCTCTTTTCGTAATCTTTCTTTACGTTTCCTTCTCCTCACTTCTTAAAGAAAAGAGAGCGAAAATTTCTTCATAATCATTCTAAATAATCGTGATGAATGTATTCGTTAAAAAAAAATCTTCCAAATAGGCCTACCTGCCAATCGGCCGAGGAAGCGGACTATTTATAGGCCTAACCGATTAAGAACATTAAGATAAGAAATAAGATAAGAAAATAAGATCAACATAAGAACGATTACAACAGAAATAACAACAACAACAATAATTAAACACTCTGAACGAAAAACAGAGTATAATTCACACTAAAAATCAGTAACAAGAAAAACTGTAAGGATACAAACACAAAATAAAAAAAAGGTATATCTATAAATAACATAACAACAGAAAAAACAAAAACAAAGACAGTATGAACAGATAAACAAACATTGTAATCAACAAAACAACAATAGTAACAACGACAGAAAAAAAAGTATTATTCACAATGTTTAATACGAAAAGGCGAAAATCGTTACGTCATCCTAGAAAGCCAGTAACGAATAACGATAAAAACAAAATAAAAAATCAGAAAAGGAAGAAATCTAATTAAAAATTAAGTGAGAAAACAAAACACGACGGAAGGAATGAAGTAAAGAAAGAAGAAAAAGAAGAAGAAGAAGAAGAAGAAGAAAGAAGAAGAAACAGAAGAAAAAGATGAAGAAGAAGAAAACGAAAAAGAAAGATGAAGAAAATGAAGAAGAAAATGAGATAGAAGAAGAAAGTGAAGAAAGAAAAAGACACCAGACATAAGACAATTCCAAGAAAATAAAGGATAAAAGGAAGAAGAAGAATAACGAGACACTGAGAAAGAAGAAAAATGAAAAAAGGAGAAGACGAAGGAGAAAAACGATTAACAACTGTGATAATTAAAGAGGAACTCAAAAGACGCCATTCTCCTCAGGAACAGAAGCCGTGGAAAGGCGAATGGGAGATAATAGATAAACAGAGTAATAATACGTAGATAAAGAAGAAGAATGAGGAAAAGGAGAGGGATATAGAGAAGAAGTGGAAGAGGAAGAGGATGAAGAAGAAAAAGAAGAACAAGAAAAAAAGGAGAAGAAAAAGAAGTAGGAAAAGATATAGAAGAGAGAGAAGACGGAAATTTAAGTTAATAATAACAATAATAATAATAATAATAATAACAATAACAACAACAACAACAACAACAACAACAACAAAATAACAATAATAATGAATAATGATAATAACAACAAAACAACAAATATCAGTAACAACAACAATAATAATAATAATAGTAAGACGAAGGAGAAGAAGAAAACTAAGGAAGAAATAATAAAAAGGAGAGAAAAAAAAAATAGAAAAGATTCGAAAATTACGTCACAGAAGAGAGACCTTTAAACAGACGCTTAAATTCAACAAAAATAATAGAAGAAGAAGAAGGATCAACGATGGCCAAGAACAAAATAATATAAAGTATAATAATCAAAATAAATAAGATCAAAACACGCCCTGCTATTAATCATCTTGGTAACGTCAAGATAAAACCCCATCACTAATTATCTTTAAAATATCGCCAGCAACACAAACCCCATCACTTATTATCTTAAGACATCGACTCAAAACAAACCCCATTACTTATTGTCTTAAAAAAAAACATCGAATCTAAACAAACCCTATTACTTATTATCTTAAAAAAACATAAAATCTAAACAAACCCTCACACTTATTATCTTAAAACGATCGACTCAAAACAAACCCAATCACTAATCATCCTAAAAAACATCAACTCAAACAAACCCCATTATTTATTATCTTAAAAAACATCATATCTAAACAAACCTCATTTACTGTCTTAAAAACATCGACTCAAACAATCCCCATTACTTATTATCTTAAAAACATCGAATCTAAACAAACCTCATTCCTTATTATCTTAAAAACATCGATTCAAAACAAACCCCATTACTTATTATCTTAAAAAAAACACCGATATTAAGAATCCCATCACTAACTCTTCAACACAAAAAAACAAAAACAAAAACGAATCGCAGCTCCGCCCACTCACCAGGCATGATAGACACCGTCTTCAGCGCCCTCAGCACACGGAAGGTCCGAAGTCCCGCTAAATTCCCCAGCTGGAGGTCCATATCGCCCAGCTCTATGACGGTGGTGACGTAGCCGGACACAATCACCACGAAGTCCAGCCAATTCCACGGGTTGCGTAGGTATGTGTACTTGTTCAGGATGAAGCCCTTGGCTACTGTCTTGATCATCATCTCCGCCGAGTAGATCGCCAAGAACATATACCTGACGGAGGTGAAGAAGAAATGGGGGGAGGGGTTAGATCTTTGGTGTGATTTTCATATATATATTTTTTCTCTTTAAGAGGAATAGTAGAGATCGTGATGGTGATGGTTAATGATGATGATGATGATGATGATGATGATGATGATGATGATGATGATGATGGTAGTGATGATGATAACAAAAATGTCCATATTATTAATTTTCGTTTTGTTTTACATCAGAATACCTAGTCATAGTATAGGAAAAACACAAAATAATATTAATAACTAGACCTTTTCTTTTCTGTTTTACTTTACGTATTCGTATTTGTAGTAGAGCGAAGGATGGGAATGAGGAGAGAGACTGATAATGAAAAAGGGACTGAAAGACAATGGTGATAAATAAAGGGAAGGTGGTCTATCTGTCGTATATATATATATATATATATATATATATATATATATATATATATATATATATATATATATATATATTTGTATACACACACACACACACATATATATGTATATATGTACATACATTAACATTTATCTATGGGTATGTTTGTACAGGTGTACAGGTTTGTACATGTATCTCTGGTATATAATTTTAGAAGTATCGAAATAATCATCCCAATAACAAGAGTAAAAACACTGCTTATAATGATAATAATAGCAAAGGTAAATAATGCAAACGCAAATAACGGCAATGATTATAATAAATTACCACCCTCAAACACAAGGCAAGTCGTCCTCCAGCCCTTGCCCAAACCCAGGATCTATCTCCGTCGGCGAACTCATCTTTCTCCTCCTCCTCCTCCACCTCCACCTCCTCCTCCTCACTCTCCACCTCCTCCTCCTCACTCTCCACCTCCTCCTCTTCCTCCATCACCTCCACCTCCACCACCTCCTCCTCCTCATCCACCTCCTTAATCTCCTCCTCCACCTTCGTCTCCGCCTCCTCCTCCACCTCCTCTTCCTTCCCCACCTCCTCCTCCTGCTCCACCACCACCTCCTCCTCCACCTCATCCTCTTCCTCCGCCGCCCTCGCTTCCCAAGGGCGCCCTCCGATCCTTCACCTTCACGATTTCCCGGAAAGACGAGCGCGATCGAGATGGCGAATCCCATTCATTATTCATCACTTTCCTCGCGATCCACAAACACCTCGGCTCATCACACGCCAAGCCCTCTGGCCCGAGTAACGCGTCAGCCTACACACACGCACACACGCACGCACAATATTACATCTTCAGGTGCTGTGTTGACCCGTCGAGCACGCCCGCCCGCCCACCCGCCCGCCAGCTCCTCCTCCTCTTCCTCCTTCTTCTCCTTCTCCCCCTATCCTTCTTTTTCTTTTTCTACTACTATTTATTCTTCTCCTCCTCCTTCTCCTTCTCCGCCTATTCTTCTTCTTCTTCCCTATTCTCCTTTTTCTTCTTCTTCTTCTTCGTCTTCTTTTTTCTTCTTCTTCTCCTTCTCCCCTTTCATCTTCTTTTTCTCCTTCTTCTTCTTCACCTCCTCCTCCTCCTCCTCCTTTTTCTTCTCCTCCTCCCCCTTCGCTAGGTCTCCTCCTCTTCCTCCTCCTTCGCCTGTGCGGAAATATTGACACAGCCCTCGACGCCCAAGCCAGTAATTTCACTTGCGGTCGCTGCTCCTCCGACCCGGGCGACCGAGCCGACGCGTTCACAGCAGCGTCAACATGTCTCCTTCGCTGTCTCTCTGTCTCGTTCTCTGTCAGTCTCTCTTTCTCTCTCTTTTTCGTGTTTCCCCGTATGTCTCTTTCCTGCTTTTACCCTCCCAGGATAGTGTTCATATTTTATCGGTATGTATGTGCTAGGAACGTCACGTACACTGGCACTTTCGACTTGAACCCGTGTCGCGTTTCACGGAAGCGCGTCTCGGAGCTTCGAATCTCTCCCGCACAACAACGTCAACGCACACTGCTATTCCCGGAACCCGTTCGAAAATTGCTTCGAACAGCACTCCCTCCCCATCACACTCACCAACAACATTCTCTCTCTCTCTCTCTCTCTCTCTCTCTCTCTCTCTCTCTCTCTCTCTCTCTCTCTCTCTCTCTCTCTCTCTCTCTCTCTCTCTCTCTCTCTCTCTCTCTCTCTCTCTCTCTCTCCCCATGGCCTATCCCATCCTATGAAAAGCCTCCTGCATAAAACGGAATAACCTCATTTTGCGAAAATGAACGCGAACACAAAGGCTTGCGGGGAAGGTACCTGCGCTCAACACTCTAAAATTTAGGGCCACGAATTCGCTGATTCGGCCTCACCTGACCTGAACGCCGCCGCAGGTCTGCCCGCTGCTCTACGGCCGGATACGTCGGATGTACTCGCGGTTTTCCCTAAATTATTTCGCTTTTTACGTCTCCTAAACGAAAGCAGAAAACCAGACCCTCGGGGGAAGCAGATTGGAGGGAGTTCATGGAACTTTTGTAAAGATTTGCGTGATTTGAGCGACTATTATGTATATGAACTTTAAAAAAGAGTACAAGTAAAGTAGACATATATATATATATATATATATATATATATATATATATATATATATATACATATACATATACATATATATATATATATATATATATATATATATATATATATATATATATATACTATATATATATATATATATATATATATATATATATATATATATATATATATATACTATATATACATATACATATATATCATATATTTGTGCTATATATTATATATATACTATATATATATATCATATGTATATATTACCTATACCATATATATATCTATATTATATATATATTATCTATACCATATATATATATATATATATATATATATATATATATATATATATATATATGAAAATAAATATGATATATATATATATATATATTTATATATATATATGTATATGTATATATATATACATTTAATAATTCATTGATGTTCCTATTACTCATTCTATGCTGTTTACAAATACATTTATTAATTTCTCTCGATGTATTTTATATTTTCATCAGTCTCATTTCAATTTTCCATTTCTATGTCATTGGATATTCATGACATTTCGCTCGTGACGTTCATAACACCAGGTCGCCACGGGAGGTCTGTGACACATAACAAATATCAGTGACGCGATCATGACACGGGGCGGGTGCATGACAAACGCGTGACAAGTGAAGGGGGGAGGAGGCGGTTCGCGTCATGTCTCTGGCGCATAAAACAAGCAGACGTCGTCGTTTCCATATTCATGTTCCCCTTTTATTTCTTTTTTCCCTTTTCTCCCCTTCTTTTGGCTTTTCCCATTCTCCTTTTTTATTTGCCGTTTTACCTCCCCCTTTATCTCCGTTCTCTTTTACTTTTTTTTTCTTCTCTTCCCTTTCCGTCCTTTTTTTCTACCCCCCCTCCTCCACCTTCCTCCTTTCCTACCTTTCCTTTTTTCCCCTATTTCCCCTTTTCCTTTTCATCTTCCCCCTCCCCTTCCCCTCTCCCCCCACCCCCCCATTTCGCGAGGGGCAATCACAACGACCTTCTCTCTAGGGTACGTGTTGCTCGTCCATTGTGTTGCAAGCAGAGGTCGTTGCACAAGACCTGTTGCTGGAAAGGGTACGACCCGATATGCAGGGGCTCTGAAGTTGCACCATATTGCTATCAACACTCCAAACCCCTCTCCCCAGCATGCTTGTTCTGTGCATTTTATTTTCATTTTTATCTTCCATTTTTCTATACACGATTTTTTTTTTCTTTGCCTTACATTTTCTATATATATTTTTTTCTGTATTTTTTTCTCCTTGTTTTCTAGTATAACGTGCGCTCTATTAAATTTGGGAAGTCCCGGGGTAAAGTTCATTTTTTTTTTTATTTTTGCTAGATCTCGTACCTATGGATTGCAACAAGGAACATGCTTGAGAGAGACCGGAATAGATAGATAGATAGATAGATAGATAGATAGAGAAAGAAAGATAGAGAAAGAAAGAGAAAGATAGAGAGAGAGAGAAAGATAGATAACTAGAGAAAGATAGATAGATAGATAGAGAGACAGATTTACAACGTTCTTGCAAAGCTATGAAAACGATTGTTTAGTGGGCATATAACAAAAATATAATTTTCTGTCTCTCTCCCTCTCTTTTTTTCACTCTCTCCCTCCCTTCCTCTCTCTCTTTCTCTCTCTTCCTCCCTCCCTTCCTCTCTCTCTCGCTCTCTCTCTCTCTCTCTCTCTTTCTTTCTCTCTCTCTCTCTCTCTCTCTCTCTCTCTCTCTCTCTCTAACTCTGTTTACCGATCTCTTTTCAATCTTTCTCTTTCCATCTTTCGTTCCTCCCCCCCCCTTCCTCCCCTGTCCCCTCTCTTACAAAAATAAAAGACCAGTCAAGCTTGACACGAAACATATCAGCTCTCCGATGTACGAATTAATGAAAACGAGACACATGTGAAAAAAGAGAGAAAAAATGAAAATAAAAATAAAAATAAAAAGAAAAATATACGTAACAATATATATATATATATATATATATATATATATATATATTAATAAATATAACAAATATATCAAAGAAAAAGCGAAAGCAAAAAGTCAAAACAGGCCGCGAAATCCACCGAACGACAGACAAAAAAAAAAAAAAAAACTTAACTTAAACGAGAATTAAAAATGAGCCTACAACAGGTCGGCGCTGTGCCTATTTGCTTTTCATTCTCAAAAAAAAAGAAAGCAAAAAAAACAAAAAACGGTGAAGTGAAGTAGTGAGTTTGTGTGCGTGTGTGTATTTGCGATCACGATGCTTTTTTGGATGGAGAAAATAATACAAAAATCAGAGAGATTATTATTATTTTTTTATCGACACAATGCTATCAACCTAACTACTACTGTTTATGCAAATTTATTCTATGTTTAAATTACCTATTAACTATAAATATTTATACACATATGTACATATATGTATGTATGTGTTTGTGTGTGTGTGTATGTGTGTGTGCATACATGTATATGTATATATGTATATATGTATATATATATATATATATATATATATATATATATATATATATATATATATATTTATGTATATATATATATATATACACACATATATATATATATATACATATATATGCATATATACATATATATACATTATATATATATATATATATATATATATATATATATATATATATATATATACATACATATATATATATATATATATATATATATATATATATATATATATATATATATATATATATATTTATATTTAT